GGGGGGGGAGGAAAGAGTTGTATCTTCAGGTAGTACCTTAATAACAGCTAAGGCACTCAGTCCGCACTCCACATGTATTGAACTCCTCACTAGGAAAACAGGACTGTATCGAGTCAATTCTGCAGAAAACAAGTATTATCTACAGACAATATTAATGGGCGTTTCAAGATGAAGTGTCTTTATTTTTATGTTTTACCCACAATAAAACCACATGATTATGATATCAAACACTGAAGCTTTTTAACAGAACTGAAGGTTCTATTAAGCAACTAATAGCACAAGCACCAGGCTATATCTAGTAGATAGGAGCTTATTGTTATTGTATTGTAACAGCAATCTGTTGTTGATGCTCTTCAGCATGCAAGTAAAGTCACTAAGGGAAAGATGGACTGCATGCCTCAAACACAGGTACTGTAACACTTAAATCTAAATAACCAATTGTCTTAATATAAGACTTTTCTATCAGTCAGGTGACCAAGCTTCAGTGAAGGAAAAAAAACATAGCTTTTGTGGTAGACTGGCAGTGTCTGGACACCTATTTGCACTACAAATGAATGGGTAATACTTAATTTATTTGTCCCAGATACTTTGAGGATCACAGTGTAAATTTCCTAGTCACTACTTTGCTTGCAAATTAGTAGCAAATCAAGAGTCCAACAGAAAAAAACAAAACAAAAATGAGAACCACCACACACTCCTCTCCCCATCCCCCATTCCCATTATTTTGCTTGGTGAAGAACTTTTCTTTAATAAAAAGTGGGAGTTGCTACAGTTATTCATAGCTACAGATGAGACTAAGAAAATGAAACTGAAGGGAAACTAAATTGAACAACATCTAAAACAGAATTATTACATAATGCAATTTCAAAAGTGTGTTTTTATTCTGTCTCACTACCTGCATCTACTTTCAGCTCAGTTCAAATGCTAGGCTTCGTATATGATGATCTAATTTTAATGCTTTAATAAATATCTTCAAATTATGCTGAAACTCCTAAGTAAGTCTTTTGAGTCAAAAGTACTGACAACACTGATTCAAGAGGCTTCAATAAGCCTTCAGCAAGGACCTGGATTTAGACATCTACCCAGTCTGGAGATAACCACTGACCTTTCCCCCTCCTGTTTACCCCCCAGAATGAAAGACTGCTGAGTTAAAGGTTACTGGACTTTCCGAGCTGGATAGATCTTCAGAACTGTTTTATCAGTTCTGTTTAGTAGTTTGGCTTTCATGATTAAAGCTGGACATGCACATATCCTACTAAATCTATACTTTCAGCTTTCACCTCCCCATAGTTACACTGGGATTTCTATACTGTTCACAGAACATTGATGCAGCTGTTTTAACTGCTGCCTGCTCTCCCAAAATACATAGTTTTGACTCATTTTTCATATGCAAAACACTTATCTCAATGCTTCAATGGTATCTATTTCCAGAACAAAAACTCAAACACTCCATTATAAATCAGCTCTTATTTTTTCCTGACTAATCTAAATCCTTTATTCAATTATTGTCTTATCTTCTCTAAGAGTGTTAATCTTGCACGAAAATTTGACTTACTACTACTACAGTAAAATTTTCATGATTACAGAAAAAGTAACTTAGCTGAAAAGTAGGTGTTAAATTTAAGACTACGAAACCTGTTTTGTTCTCTATAGCATTGTATGGTTGGAGAACTTTTCCTCCAAAGCAACTCAGTAACTATGTAAATTGGAAAGATTAAGCATAAATAAGTTTTTAATCTCACTTTACAAAAACTGCTTAACTGAAATTAGTTATTTATTCCAATCTCAGAAAACATAAGCCTCTGACACCTCTCTATCACGTCTCCAGCCACAGAAGTCAATTTAATGGATTCCTTAAGATTAGGAGATATAAATATTAGCAAATCCTCTTTACCAAAGGACAGTTACATAATCAGGTTACAGGTTATTGTTTTTATGTCTACATTTTAACAGTGATAAAGAGTGAAAGATCAGGAACATCGCACCTTCCCCTCTGATGGCTGTTTATTATTACACAGACTTATCTGACACCTTTGTGGTAACTTTGTTCTAGATTTCCCTGTTAATTTAACTGGCATGGCAAACAGTCCAGAAGGCATGAGGTGACTACTTCAGGATACTCCTTAACAATAAAGCCTTATAATTCAGCTTTCAGAGTATTTTCTCTAAACTCTCTCTCTACTGCAAGGTAGGAGATGAACCAACAACATGGGTAAATGGAGATCTTCCTTCCTTACTAACTAGAAAAATAGTTTTCAGTCTAATGAACTTTCCAAAGAGTGCAAGTTATCAAAGACTTGGAATCTTTTCCTTCCAAAATCCATCTTACTGACATTAGATGTTGATGAGTCAAAGCAAAACCTGGCATATACCAGGCTCATACTGTTAACTCATCTATTTTGTGAGCTGTGTGAATGAATTCCCAAAAAAAAAAAAAAAAGAAAATCAATCCACTGATGGCATTGGTAAGAGAGAAGATAAATTTTCAAGCAGAAAGAATGTAATGGAAGAAATAGATAATACAAAAAAAGATAGTAGGAAGTAGAAGGGAAATAAACAGTGATGCAATGAGGTATCAACAATCTATTATTTGAAGAAAAAGTGAACCCATAGAAGATAAAAGTCCTTTTTTCTGTTTATGAACAAGAAATTAAGTGATAAAGTGACTATTAAAAGAACAGAGTATAAACATTTTTATAACCTTAAAATAAAAGGATTAGTCAGCAATGAGTAGGTTAAAGCACATTTTCACTTTCAGGTTAAACAGATTCAATTAACAGATCTAACAGAGCTGAAATGGTAACCTATTCTCATACTTTTTGTAATTTTTGTGTAGAGAAAACCTTGTGTTGTACTTGAGAACGCACAGAAAAAGAGGAATGGTAGTAGTTCCTCCTCCCCTTCATCTATATATTACAATTAAACTCAATTTGTAGAGATGCAAAAACACTTCAGTAGAAAGCAACTAACTTTACTTGAAATTTTACTTACTATTTTTTTCTTTTGAGATTTTAAATCTTCCAATGCATCATCTAAAAAAAGAAAATTATACATTACTTCTGACATTTAATTATGAGAGAATTTCAGCATACACAGGGCAAAACTAACGTTCAGAGTAAGATCAGAAAGTTATACACTGCCATCCAACAACATCAGTAAGCTTTATGTATAGCAACTATGGCTTTACATGAAAGTAATCATCTTAAATCCTGAAACTGCTCATAAATTATAGCCCAGCAGTATCACTTCACAGTTGTAACTATTAAAAAGTTTTATGTACCACTTCTTCATTAAGCAAGCCAATTCTAGCTAGGGCCCTGTTTTGACCTACATTAAAACTGGTAAAACATGGACAAAATGCACTTAATCTCATCAGTCAGACTACAGAAAAAGCCTAAGGTTTAAGTGTTAATGTATCTATTTGAGTACCAGATTTACTGGCTCTAATTTCACATAGGCCTCTTATACATGCTAGCTTCAAATATTAGGTCAATTCTGAGTTTCAAATCTGAATCTCTATTTCACTCTTCCAATACGTTCAGACTACAGAAAAATCCCAGTTTTATAAAGATAAGGGACATAGTTATAACTAGCAGCCACAGCACCTAACCTCATCTTTAAAATGAAAGGAGGGGAAAAGTCAAATGCATTTGGGATTCTCCTGTGAAGTCACTGCTAGGAGCTTAGCACTCACTGAAAATTCACTGTAATAAATCCTCGCCTAATATAGAAAGTATTGCCTTGATGTCATCAGGTTTTTTACCTCCTTTACAGCAGAAGGAATAACAAAAAAGGTGTTTACAGTTTTTCACTCATCCTCAGCACTACTGGACATTAGCAGTTCACTTCTTATAAGACATAGGGGATTTTTTACCCATCTTTGAGGGTTCTGCCCCTCCCCAGAAAAGCATAAAACTACAAGAAACAACAATTAAAAAAAACACCAAAAACTACTGATTAAACAATCAAATTAAATAAGCAAGTGTAAGTGATTAGAGTATTAAGTTACTTCAGAAGTATTAGAAGTAAAGGAACACATACCAGTTTGTACCCCTGTGGTCATTTACAAACTTGCTTTCACATAATAAACCATTTAATTAAGTATACACCATACTGGAAAACTGGGTACAGTTTTAGTGACAATTTGAAACAAGACATGGAACAACATCTATTTTGCACTGGGCTGGACCACAGAGAATAGACAATTCCAAGAATTGAGCATCTTGAAATTAAGAAACCAAGGCATCCTCCACTCTACTGAATTTGACACCTATGTTAGAATATCGCCTCTCAGGCATCTCACAGATTAACACCTTAAAATGCACTTCAGTGTGGTACGGTATCATGCAGCCAGACAAGTAGCATAAGAAATGTTAAGAGGTGACAATATTAAGAAACAAATCCTGCATTTGCTATAGAAATGCCTAAAAAAAAAAAAAACCACACTTTTAAGTATAGCCTCTCACAAACCAATGCAATCAGTTTCAAGTGTAGGCAGTTGTTTCTGATAACTAACTCCTGCTTTTAAGAATCTCATGAAGCAACCGCTCCTTCAAGAGTGGCCAAACAGCAATTACTGCAAATTATTCTCAAGAAACCAGTATCTTAGTCAAACTCACTGAAAAAAGAATTCATACCACAGAAGCAAATAACTGCAAGATACCTCACTCACTTTCCCACACTTTGAGGTATATCAGCACAAAGCTTCCTCAACAGTTGCTTGCCTGAGCAGTCTTAAAGAGAATCCCATAGTCTTTCAACATCACCCATTCTAGTGTTTCATTAGATATCTCCCTAGTTCAGAGCATGGTTCCCAAGAATTGTGTAGTTATCCAGACACCTTTACAGCATTAAAGTTATCTTCAATGACACCTACTATTGTATTCAAGCTAACTCAAGCCATTCAATTGACAGTTCACTATCTCATCTAGATCATCTGCTTTACTGCTCTAACTTTTGTACTATGCATTTGACTTCTCCTTTCCAAATAGAGGACTCGCATCTCTGAAGTAAAACACTTCACTCTTGCCCAGTCTCCAGAACAATGCAGAAATAATTCTTCTTGGAATGTTACAAAGTGCATTGAAGT